TATATATATATATATATATATATATATATATATATATATATATATATAGTTTGAAGGAGGCGCCAAGCCATTCGCATATCGTTGGCCAACGTTTCGTGGTTACAATTCTGAAACCGATATCTGATTTTTTCCAAATTGAAATGAACAGGTCACATCTCTGATTAAAATGAGCGGTTTTCACAGGATCATATCATCAATCTGCCCGCTCATCTATAAAAACAGACATTTTCCTGATAATCTTGGCGTTGGTTTTATTTATCTGCATCCAAATGCACTAGATTTGTGACCAAAGTATAATTATCATAGCTTTCCTAGGTCCCATGAATAATGATATTCGTTCAGCAGCCCTGCTCATTTCGAGAGCGTCAAGGCCATTCAATCCTTTGTTTCGTGATTGCTGTCATTCAACACACTGATGGGCACGGCTATGTAATTTCAATGACTTGTATCATCAACAGCTTTGACAGCTTTTTAAAACTGCGACTTTGCTAAGACCACTTGCTTACGTTTTGCTCCAGGTGACCCGGGTGCACTTTCGATCGGACGCAGCGATAGCTAGTAACACACCCTAATTGAGGGAAGATGTTTTTCAGGTAGCCGCCAAAAATTGAGCTCTCTTTCCTGCTGCCCTTTTTTTATCGTACCACGGAGGGACAGAAGCATGCCAATTTGAATCGCTAGTTCAACTATTTTGTATTGACGCCTCGGACGAATTGGTGAAACTTTGTGGTTTCTGGCCCAGACACTGTCTAGCCGGTCGGATCTGACGGCGGGCACAGGTCAAATAAGCCAAGTGCGTTGGTCTATCTCCAAGCCTTTCACAGGTAAAAGCGCTGCTACAACTGAGTGGGATTCGGCATATTTGTGCGCACAATGCTACCTGAAAACTGTGCAACCGGCGCCTGTGCGCTTCGGATAAGCTTTGTTCGTTTTGGATGAGCTCCTCCATCCGCGGCGCAGCTTCGAGCACAGACCAGCGTCCTCACCGAGCACAGACCAGCGTATCACCGAGCACAGACCAGCGTACTCACCACCGGCACAGACCAGCGTACTCACCGAGCACAGACCAGCGTACTCACCGAGCACAGACCAGCATACTCACTGAGCACAGACCAGCGTACTCACCGAGCACACACCAGCGTACTCACCGAGCACATACCAGCATACTCACCGAGCACAGACCAGCGTACTCACCGAGCACAACCAGCGTACTCACCGAGCACAAACCAGCGTACTCACCGAGCACAGGTTGGGCTTCTCTCCCGAGTGGACGCGCATGTGGATCATCAGCTTGTAGCGGGCGTTGAAGGGCTTCTGCTGGCGCGGGCAGTCGGCCCAGAAGCAGGTGTACTCGTCTCCGCCGCGGCTGTCCACGTGCACCTTCTCGATGTGCTTGACGAGCGCCGCCTGGCGGTCGTACTGCAGCGCGCAGCCGGCCCACAGGCAGGTCAGCGGGCCGCTGCTGGAGCTGACCTCTGCCGGCGAGTCGAGCGGCCCGACGGGGTACAGGCGCCCGCCGCTCGGCTCCGGGCCGTACTGACGGTCGGGGCTCGAGTCCGGCGCGAACGGGCCGCCTGGCCGCTCCTGGCGGTACGGAGTCGCCGACGGCTCCTGCTTGTACGGGTAGCCCGGGTGCTCGTGCTTGTACGGGTACACTGACGGCTCCTGCTTGTACTGGAAGCTGGCGGGCTGCTGGCTGACCTGGCAGCGGGCGGGGTCCTGGCTGACGCGGCAGACGACCGCCTCTTGCTTCAGCTGGACGCCGGCCTGCTGGCGCAGCGGCAGAACCTGCTGCTGCAGCTGCTGCGCCTGCTGCTGCGGCAGCACCAGGTAGTTGGTCTGGCAGGGCGGCCAGGCGACGCCGTCGGCCGGCCGCAGCGACTGGAACGGCGGCAGCGAAT